AAGGAAGGAAGGAAGGAGGAAAAGAAGGAGCAACAGAAGGAAGGAGAGAAGGAAGGAAGGGAAGGAGAGAGGGAGGGAGGGAGGGAGGGAGGGAGGAAAGAAAGAAAGAAAGGAAGGAAGGAAGGAAGGAAGGAAGGAAGGAGGGAGGGAGGGAGGAAGGAAGGTAAAAAAGGAGCAACAGAAGGAAGGAAGGAGGGAAGGAAGGAAGAAGGGAAGGAGAGAGGGAGGAAGGGAAGGAAGGAAGGAAGGAAGGAAGGAAGGAAGGAAGGAAGGAAGGAAGGAAGGAAGAGAAAGAAAGCTATATATTATAAATCAAATCAATCACCCCTAAAGACAAGAGGAAGCTGGAACAGAATAACTGATAAAACAGTTTGGACACTGCTCAAGAATGGAATCAACTGCCCCAAATCCATAGTGCAGGTTCTCTTAAATAAGCTTTCAGACTTGCAATAAATCATTGCAAAATATGGAAGCAACATCTGCCAGAAATAACAAGAAGACCGAGCAAGGTTTCCAGTCAACAATGATTAGTGTTTTTTGCTTTGTATCTTATCCTCTGCAGCCTGGTATGCCCGTTTGTCATTTTTTGCATCAATTGCTTCCTTTAATTTTAGTTTTAAATTGGGTTTTTTAGAAAAATTTTAATACCACAACTCTAAAATATTTGGTTTTAATTTGGTTTTATTTGGCGGGGATTGTGGGTATGTCTTTGTTTTAAATATGTTGTGAGCCGCCCTGAGTCCCGTCGGGAGAAGGGCGGGATATAAATCAAATAAAATAAAAAAATAAAATAAAATAAATAAAATAGTTGTACTTTTTAATTTCCATTAATCATTTGATGTTACAAGGAGCCTATGTTGCTTCTCTCTATAAACAGTTCAGAGCAACTTTCAAAACATGGCAATATATACTTTATATATTTACTATAAAATATAAAATATATCAACTCAAGGTCAAAATGATAAACTAGAGTATCATCATTAAAACAAATACTGAAGCAGATTTTAAGCAGCAAAGTTGTTTCAGAATGAAAAGCTGGGCAATTTTCAGCCATGCTGCTAAATATGGGAGTCAAATTCCACTTGTGAGCTAATTTTTCCCCAGGCCTCAAAAATTAACCATCTGAATATTGAAACTCTTAACATTACGGTACAATTTTTTTTATTATAATAAGGTAATCACTGCTATTGGAATAATCTTGCTATGATTTTTATTACCAAGCCTTCATTACAGGCTTAGATCCACATATTTAAACAAGGATAAGGGAGTATGGTTAAGTCATAAAGACACTTTGATGCTTCAGTGGTTTTCGGTTACCACGATCTGCAGTTAAACTGATATCGAAAACTTTCAGGAGGGGGAAACAGAGCAAACATCCATCTTTATTGTGCTATTCATAAATGATTATTCTTTATTTAAAATATTTCTCGGCCACCCCCATTGCATCATATCAGTTTCCAGGATGGTACAGTATATGGCAATAAAATAAAATTCGAAAACAATGCAAACATTCGGCCACTATAACAAGAGATAAATAAGAAATATTGCCAGACTTGAGAAGTTACTCAAAAAACTCAATGCCTAAGTAGGATCCATATAGAAGGACAGGTAGTCCTCGACTTACAACAGTTCTTTTAGTGACAGCTGAAAGTTACAATGGCACTGAAAAAAAATGACTTATAACCATTTTTCACACAACCATTGTAGTATCCTCCGGGGTCACGTGATCAAAATTCAGACACCTGGCAACTGGCCCATATTTATGACGGCTGCCGTGTCCCGGGGTCATGTGATCCCCTTGTGACCTTCTGACAAGCAATGTCAATTGGGAACCCAAGATTCACTTAACAACTGTGTGACTAACTTAACAACTGCAGTGATTCACTTAACAAATGAGGTAAGAAAGGTTGTAAAATGGGGCCAAATTGCCTTAACATCTGTCTCACTTAGCAACAGAAAGTTTGGGATTCATTGTCAAGGATTACCTGTACTTATATATACACACAAACATACAAGATAAAGAACAAGATGGACAGCTCTTTCCTTCCCAAAACATCTGGCACAACTAGTACACCGGCAAGAGAGAAAACCCCCTCCTTTGTCATCTGACACAAAGCCGGATTAGAAACTGCCATTCATCCCCCATAGAAACAGACAGAGGTATCCCTCGACTTACAACAGTTGAACCCAAATTTCCATTGCTAAGCAAAGCAGTTGTTAAGTGAGTTTTGCCCCATTTTACAACCTTTGTGCTGCAGTTCTTAAGCAAATAACTGCGGTTCCTAAGCGAATCATGCGGTCATTAAGCGACTCCGGTTTCCCTCATTGACTTCGCTTGTTGGAAGCTCACTGAGAAGATTGCAAATGGCAACTACGTGATACCTGGACATGCAACTGCCATAGATACATGGCAGTTGCCAAGTGCTTGAATATTGGTCACGTGACCGTGAGGCTGAGACAACAGTTATAAGTGAGAAAAATGGTCGTAAGTCCTTTTTCCCCCCTGTGCTGTTGTAACTACAGTCATTAAACTAATGGTTATAAGTGGAGGACTACTGGATGCTACAGGGAGAAAGACCCCAATCTAATGGCTTCTCTTGCTATGTCCAGACCTAGAAGAGTCATCTGGAAGAGCCAGTATGTTTGAACTATATACAGGTAGTCCTCGTCGTACGGCCACAATTGAGCCCAAAATTTCAGTTGATAAGCGAGACAGTTGTTAAGTGAGTTTTGCTCCATTTTACAACCTTTCTTGCCACCGTTAAGTGAATCACTGCAGCTGTTAAGTTAGTCACACGGTTGTTAAATGAATCCGGGTTCCCCCTTGACTTTGCTTGTCAGAAGGTCACAAAAGGAGATCACATGACCCCAGGATGCTGCAACCATCATAAATATGAGTCAGTTGCCAAGCATCCAGATGTTGATCATGTGACCATGAATGAGGATACTGCAATGGTAGAAAGGGGTCCTAAGCCACTTTTGCCAGTGCGGTTGTAACTTTGCACGGTCCCTAAATGAAATGTTGTAAGTCGAGGGTTACCTGTGTATAGTGGTACTAATGTTTTCTTGCCCACATGACATTACCAACTTAGGTAACGTCATCAAGGCTTGTAATGGGCTGCATTGGCGACAGTGTCCCTAGCACGGCAAGACAAGAAATAAGACAAGACACAGAAGGCAAGGCAAGAAGTACTGGAGGGAAACTAACCAAGGAGAGAAGAAATCTGGAATTAAGGAGAAACTTCCTGACAGTGAGAACAATTAACCAGTGGAATGGCTCGCCACCAGAAGTTATGGGTGCTCCATCACTGGAGGCTTTCAAAAAGAGCCTGAACAGCCATTGGTCTAGTGCAGGGGTAGGCAACCTTGGCTCTTTTAGGACTCGTGGACTTCAACTCCCAGAATTCCTGAGCCAGCATGGCTCAGCTTGGAAACCTCTCCCTTTCCCCTCAGCATGGCTGGCTCAGGAATTCTGGGAGTTGAAGTCCACCAGTCCTAAAAGAGCCAAGCTTGCCTACCCCTGTCCTAAGTCCTCCTGTTCTAAGTGGTGAGCCTCCTAGGCCAGGGGTAGGCAACCTTGGCTCTTTTATGACTCCTGGACTTCAACTCCCAGAATCCCTGAGCCAGCATGGCTCAGCTTGGAAACCTCTCCCTTTCCCCTCAGCATGGCTGGCTCAGGAATTCTGGGAGTTGAAGTCCACAGTCATAAAAGAGCCAAGCTTGCCTACCCCTGGTATAGGGTCTCCTGCTTGAGTAGGGGGTTGGACTAGAAGACCTCCAAAGCTCCCTTTCAGCTCTATTCTGATTGATGGGAACGATCACCCTGGCCTGGAAAGCAGCCCAACGGCGCCTCCTGCTCCTCCATCCGGGATTCAACCCAACCGGCTTGGCATCTGCATCTTGAACCGGTCTTCAACAAGCCCTCCTTTCGATGCCCAGGCGAGGCGGGCAGAGAATGCGCCCCGCCGTTTCAACCCCGGGACGGGCGGGGAAGCGGAGGGCAGCGGGTCCAAACGCGGGATGTCACGGGCGAGGCTGGGGGTAGGAAGGAAGAGGTGAGGCGGAGAGAAGGGGATCCGAACCCCCCCCTTACCTCCTCCCCGGGGAAAGCCACCCAGCTGTTGTCCGCTGCCCGTCGGCGGAGCGGAGCCGCGTTCAGCACCAGGGCGGCGGACAGCTCCCCGGGAAGGGAGGGGGGAGAGCGAGGGAGACCCGCGGGGAGGAGAGGATGACGTCATCAGCCTCCCCCCTCCCGCCGGAGCTGCACTGGCGGGTCCTGCCCAACCGGGGGCGCCTGGCGGGGGGGGGAGGGAGGGAGGGGAGGCAGCGGGGGGGGTTTAAGGGGGGGTTCGGCTTTTTCTCCCCTTCCCCCCGTCACTCACCAACGGCTGCATCTCGGCGCGCACGGCTGGCACCTGGAAGCGGTCGATCTCCTCCATCATGGTGCCGGCGGGCCGAAGAGAAGGAGGAGGGACCGGGAGGGAGGAAGGCCTCGGCAGCCTCACTGAGGCCGGGGATCGCCCGCCGCCGCCGCCGCCCGCCTCATCCCGCCGCCCGAGCCGTCCGCCGCCGTGACTCAGCCCCCGCCCTGCCCCGGCCGTCCCCGCTCGCTCGCACCACTGCGCACGCGCCGACGCAGCCCGGAGGGAGGGGAAGAGGGAACCCAGCGCGCCTGCGCAGCGCCCGGCTGGCGAAGCAGCGCCCGGCCCACCTCATTTGCATAGTCATGAGGGGGCGGGGAGGCCGCCCTCCTCACGGGTGGGTCCCCTCAGGATGCGGTTCATTTTGTTTCTCCCCCGCCACTTCCTCAACCCACTCAAGAGGACTCCCCATGGCCCGAAACCCTCGCTGGAGAAGGGAAACAGAAGAAAAAAAAGACGAAGGGGAGAAAGTGAGGGAAAGATGGCAGCGCTGTGCCTTAGCTCGAGGGCCCTTCTCGCCTTCAGCAGCTGCCTCTATGGTCGCTTCCGGTTGGTTGCCAGGGATGCCGGAGTCAACTTCCGGCAGCTGACGAGCAGGGTAGAAAAAGGACGGCGGCGGCGCTGCTCTCAAGATGCCCGGGAAGCATCTCTACCAGCGCAAGCAGGTAGGGGACGGGGGTGGGGGGGAATAGGGGTGGGGGGCGTGACGTCTCCGTGACGCCATCGCGCCACCTGATGATGTCACCCTGTTGGCGCACCAAAGGTTTCTCCAATGGAGCCGCGGCTTCTCTGCCTCCAGAATGGAATGAACGGCCACATAAAACCCTCGAGCCTTAAAAGCATCTTGTGCCCCAAAATTAGACCCCAGGAAAAATCTGTCTGTCTGTCTGTCTACCTACCTCTATCATCTATCTATCATCTATCCATTTATCTATCATCTGTCTATATCTATCATCTATCTATATCTATCTATTTATCATCTGTCTATCTATCTATCATCTATCATCTATCCATTTATCTATCATCTGTATCTATCTATCTATCTATCTATCCATTTATCTATCATCTATCTATCTATCTATCTATCTATCTATCTATCTATCTATCTATCTATCTATCTATCTATCATAAAATTTATTGACCACCCATCTGACCACAGAGTAATTTTGGGAGGCTTACAGTATTAATTGTACGATATTTACTAAATTTATAGGCTGCCCATTTCACTGTTGACTTTGGGTAGAAATGTCTGTGTCTTTCAATGCTCCTTCTCCTTTTGGTGATTCCATATCTGGTTTAAATCAGGCTGGGCTTTCCTGGTGGCCCCCTTTCCACTAGAATCAGCAGTACCTGTTGGAGCATCAGTCAATCTCTGTGCTGCCGCCTGTAAGGAGGCACAGCAATAGAACAAAAATGCAACATTCTTTCACTGGGCGTCCTGTCTAACCTGCCTTTGAGGACGAGAGTCACCTGCAGGTTGGACCACTTTTCACTTCTGCCCATCTTCAAGTCCAGCTGGATCCTGGCAGTCTTCCAAAGAGTTTCTAACCATCATTTCTTACTGTAAGTCACACCTGAGGATAGCTGGATCAGCCTTTCCTTTGCACTGCAATTACTGGTACTTCAGAGCATTATGGGTCAAGCTGTGGTCAGTCCATGTGTTTAGGGGCAGCAGTACCTCAATTTGCAGCTACTGCTATAGGTAGTCCTCAACATACAACAGTTCATTTAGTGACCATTCAAAGTTACAACGGCACTGAAAAAAGTGAGTTATGGCCCTTTTTCATAATTACGACTTTTGCAGCATCACCATGATCAGGTGATCGAAATTCAGATGCTTCGCAACTGGTTCATACTTATGACCGTCACAGTGTCCCAAAGCCAAGTGATCCCCTTTTGTAACCTTGTGATAAGCCAAGCCAATGGGGAGGCCATATTCACTTGACAACCGGATTAACTTACCAACTGCAGTGATTTACTTAACAACGGTGGCGAGAAAGGTCGTAAAACGGGACAAAATTCAATTAACAGCAGAAATATTGAGCTCCGCTGGGGTCGTAAGTCCACAGGACTGCCTGTAACATGCTGCCACCAAGAGCATTTTGCCACGCCCGTTAAAGAAGCAGAAGTAATGTGGGATTGTTAGCAATAAACCACGGCAAGGTTCTTAGCCCAGTGTTCCTTTGCCAAAATAGGATCTGAGCCAGAAAGGGAGATTAATATTTATTTATGCATAAGTAAGAAGACACGAGGCAAGAAGACCCCTTAAAAAATAGAAAGAAACATTTTACACAGGTCGTCCACAACTTACAAGCCTTTATGTGATCAAAATTAGGGTGCTTGGCAACTGACTCGTATTGATGACGGTTGCACTGTCCCAGGGTCACGTGATCACCATTGGTGGCCTTCTCAGCCGGAAGGGGAAGCCAGATTCGCCTAATGACTCATTCATAACTGCAGTGATTCACTTAACAACCATGGTTAAAAAAAATGGTAAAAGGTCACGGGATTGCCTTTTGCGACCTGCTGACAAGCAAAGCCAATGGGGGAAGCCAGATTCACTTAACAACCATGTGACTATCTTAACAACTGCAGTGATCCGCTGAACAAGTGTGGCAAGCAAGGTCGTAAAACGGAGCAAAACTCACTTAGCAACTGTCTCGCTTAGCAACTGAAATTGTGGTCATAAGTCGAGGACTGCCTGTATATCAGCGGTGTCAAACTCAATTTCATTGAGGGCCGCATCAGCATTGGGGTTGCCCTCAGGGGGCTGGGTGGGTGTGGCCAGGGTGGGTGCAGCCTACTGGGTGGGCGGGGATGGGGTGGGTGTGGCCTACTGGGTGGGCGTGGCCAGCTCTACATCGTTCGCGTCAAGGGGGCCTGTGGGGGCCTGGGCAGGAGTGGGACAGATCTGAGGGTCTCTGGCAGAAGGGGGGGGGACCGGGGCAAGCGCCAAGGCATGGTCCATTTCTTCATTCCTCACAAAGGGTGACACCTCCCCAGCATGCACCCAGGGGGTGGGGCCGACGCGGCAGGGGCTGGTTCCTCACTGTTTCCGGACGGCCTTGTGGAGCTAAGACTGAATGCGTTTCAGCATAGATGGCCACCACAAAATTGTACATTGGCTCCCGGCCGGCCTGGGCCAGGGCCAAGGCAGAGGGGGCCATTCCCTCACTGTTTCCAGGATGGCTTCGCGGGCCACATGAAACCACTTTGCGGGCCACATCCGGCCCCCGGGCCTTGTGTTTGACATGTCTGCTGTGTATAGTTCGAACATATTGGATTTGGAATGTGTTCCTGAATTGACCAGCCTCATTTGAGCCATCAAGTCTCTAGAGCAGGGGTCCCCAACCTATGGTCTGCGGCCCAGTACTGGGACACGGCTGTTGGTCACCGGGCCCTGGGAATAGCTGGTGAGCCCTGCCCCACTCACGATAGTACAGCTGTGCGGGTACTAGCGGTCCCATATGCATATGCGTGGGGACGCTAGCACCGCCACCAGCATCACGTGGGCACCGGCGGCCCGTTTGTGTTTGCGTTGTGCTAGCACATGTGCCGTGGGGTGGGCATGGCCCATTTGCACATGCGCACGGGCATCAGCGCGCATGCCATGGATGCACGCAGCCCATTTGCGCCTGAGCATGCACGCTAGCGCCACCATTGTGCACCTGCCCATTTGGGCATGTGCACACGGGCCACGTGCGTGCACATTTCCCTGCATGCACGCACAGTGCAGTGATTCGCGTAACAACTGTTGCAAGAAAGGTCATAAAGAGAGGCAAAGCTCACTTAACAAAACGTCTCTCTTAGCAGCAGAAATGGGCTCAATTGTGGTCATAAGGCGAGGACTATCTGTATTCAAAGATGATCCCTTCTCCTGCTCTCATTGTTACGGACCTTCATGGGGTTCAGGAGTAAATGTGAAGCTTGTCCGTTGTGTTATTTGGGGGGGGGGGGAAGCAAAATCTTATGTTTATTTTGTTTCTCTGTTGTAACCGTAATTTAGCTTTTCGTCCTGTAATGCCAGAGTTATTCTATCTGCTTTGTTCTCCCAGGATTGCCTTACCTTCTTCTGACATAAAATCTCTCCTGTTTTGCCTATTTTTTCTGTGCTACGAGGGCAGTTCTTCCCAGTGATTCCCAGAGGCCTCGTCACCACCGAATCCCTCCTTAATGCATTTCCGTAGGAAGAATTATGCGAATGCATTATTAATCCAAAGCCTGTAATTAGCTAACAAGTGGGCAGTATATTTCAGAAACAGGTTTTTATAGATAGATTTTTTTTTTAATCTCTCAAGCCTATAAGTAATATTTTTATGTTACAGTCCTATGCATATTTTATGGGCAGCCCTGCTCTGTGCTTTAAATGCTGTTCGCTCTTCGGAATGAAAACAGGGTATAAATAGAAACAGATGAAGTTTACAGAGCCCATCGTATAGCTGACTTGCAGATATTCCAAGAAATATTTTCCTTTCCGCAACCTAAGTCCACGAAGTGCTTTAATTCATGCTTATAAATAATTGCAACTCTGAAATTGCTTTTTCATTTTGGGGACAGCGCTCCAATCTGAAATGGTATAGTTTCTCCTGCCTTAGCATGCGGTTGGACTAGAACACAGGTCTCCAACCTTTCCAGGCTCAAGGGCCGGAGGGAAGGAGAGCGGCTTCTAAATTGGTGCACGCGCGCACACGCAGACAGGCACACCAGCGCAGCACTAGCGGCCCCGTTCGCGCATCTGCAAATGGGCCGCGCATACCCGTCCGGTGCTAGCGGCCCCATTCGCACCCGTGCGCATGCGCAAATAGGGCTGCGGGTGCTAGCGTGAGTGGGGGGGGGAGTGCGCGCGTACGCAGTGATTCACTGGATAATGATGGCAAGAAAGGTCGTAAAATGGGGCAAAATTCATTTAATAAATGTCTCAATTAGCAACAGAAACTTCAGGCTCAACTGTGCTCGTAACTCGAGGACTACCTGTTCTGCTTTCTACCTATCAGCCCTGTTTATTGCTACCAGAAAAGTATTGGTTGAGGTGAGCTGGTAGTAGATAATACAATGAAATACTTTAGGAATATTTCTGTAGAATGAATTGTGAGTTTTAGCAGACCTCGCCATTTTGATGATTGCTGATATGCGAAAAATAATTACGATTTTATTTTGTCTTCTCTCTAGAGTCAAGTTGGACTTCGACCTTCAAAATCAACTACAAGGAGAAGGGTAAACTATTTAAATTTTAAGTGTGTTTTTCTTTCAAGTCACCACAACAATCTCTATGGATTTTTTTTTCTTCAAGTATATTTGGCTTTGTGGTCTAACTGAATATAGACCACAAAAAAAACGAAAGAAAACTGAATTAGATTGTTTATGCACAGATCTTTCTCTGTCCCAAGTAAATAAACTCGGGAATAAGCCTCGCAGCTTCCAAGTTAACAAAAATAATTGGATAAGCAATAAATATACATATTCAAGTCTGACCTCTAAGTACAATCCATTGGACACATGTTGGAGATTAAGCCTTAACGATATTATTAGTTCTACATTGTTATGGCAGCTGAATTCTTTTTAATCAGATTTCCAGAAAGGTCGAAAAAGTCAAAGAGACAATTGCAGTAGAGAGATCAAAACCCTACTCTGTTCCCTTTTTTATGTGTGGACACTACTACTGATATCTATAGAAGAGGAACTCATCAGATTTGCAGATGATACTAAACTGGCAGGAATAGCCAACACCCTAGATGATAGGCTCAAGATCCAGGTGGATCTTGACACTTGAACACTGGGTTCTATCTAACAAAATGAAATTCAATGTAGAGAAAAGTAAAATCTTACACTTAGGCAAGAAAAACCAAAAGTACACATATAGATTGGGAGAAACCAGGCTTAATAGCAGTAGCTGTGAGAGGGAGCTTGGAGTCTCAGTGGACGATCAATTAAATACGAGCCAACGATGTGCAGCGGCAGCCAAAAAAGCCAAGGCAATCCTAAGTTGCATTAACAGGGAAATTCAATCAAGATCACGTGAGGTATTAATACCACTCTATAAAGCCTTAGTAAGGCCACACCTAGAATACTGCAACCAGTTTTGATTTCCACACTATAAAAAAGATGAGCTTCTAGAGAAGAGCAACAAAGATTATTGGGGGACTGGAGGTTAAAACATATGAAGAAGGATTACAGGAACCGTGCATGGCTAGTTTAGTAAAGAGAAGGACCAGGGGAGATATGATAGCAGTCTTCCAATATTTGAGGGGCTGTCATTGAGAGCAGGGGGTCAACCTATTTTCTAAAGCACCTGAAGGCCAGACAAGAAACAAGGGATGGAAACTGACCAAGGAGAGATTCAGCCTAGGGATAAGGAGAAATTTTCTGACAGTAAGAACAATCAACCAATGGAACAGATTGCCTTCAGAAGTTATGGGAGTTTCATTACTGGAAGCTTTCAAGAAGAGATTGGACTGCCATCTGTCAGAAATGGTGTAGGGTCTCCTGCTTGGGTGGGGGGTTGGACTAGATGACCTACAAGGTCCCTTCCAACTCTGTTATTCTGTTATCTCTTTTCTCCATGTCTCTTCTCATTTTCTAAAATTATCATTTTAATCTAATATGTCAATGTTTCATTGCATTACTAAATAAACAGAGTCGGCAATAGTGGCGAATAAACATTACTGAAGAGTCTTTTGAATGAAGGCGAATCTATGTTGCAAGATCCAATCTGGGTCAGTCACCGGGACCACAGGTTTATTCTTCTGAGCTTTCAGGCTCGTGTTTGAGGACAAGTCATGCATTGCAAAGATTGCTGGGAGGCGGGAGGTACTTCCAATGTAATCTACCAGATCCCCTGCATGGATTGCCCCTGTGACTATGTAGGACAGATGGGGAGGAACCTAACCACCAGATTGCAAGAACATGAGCGAGCGCTCAGACAAGGGGTCCCAGATTCATTGGTAGTCTCACAATGAACAAGGACACATCTTCAATTTCGCAGCTACTAAGATTGTCAGCCGAGCAGGGACAAAAATAGCCAGGGAAATCATTGAAGCCTTGGAAACGGGTCCCTCACAAGAGGATCTGGACAGACTTGAACACTGGGCGCTATCTAACAAAATGAAATTCAATGGTGAAAAAAGTAAGGTTCTACATTTAGGCAAGACAGACCAAATGTACAGGTATAGTATAGGGAGTACCTTGCTCAATAGTAGTAACTGTGAGAGGGACCTCGGAGTCCTAGTGGACAATCACTTAAATAGGAGCCAGCAGTGTGCTGCAGCTGCCAAAAAGGCCAACATAGTGCTGTGTGTTCCTTTTACAGAGGGATAGAATCAAGATCACGCGAAGTATTAATACCACTTTACAATGCCTTGGTATGGCCACACTTGGACTACTGCATCCAGTTTTGGTCACCACGATGTAAAAAAGATGTTGAGACTCTAGAAAGAGTACAGAGAAGAGCAACAAAGATGATTAGGGGACTGGAGGCTAAAACATATAAGGAACGGTTGCTGGAACTGGGTATGTCTAGTTTAACGAAGAGAAGGACGAGGGGGGATATGATAGCAGTGTTCCAGTATCTCAGGGGCTGCCCCAAAGAAGAGGGAGTCAAGCTATTCTCAAAGCGCCTGAAGGCAGGACAAGAAGCAACAGATGGAAACTAACCAAGGAGAGAAGCAACCTAGAACTAAGGAGAAACTTCCTGACAGCTAGAACAATTAACCAGTGGAACAACCTGCCTCCAGAAACGGTGAATGCTCCAACACTGGAGGTTTTTAAGAAGAGACTGGACAGCCATTTGTCTGAAATGGTATAGGGTTTCCTGCCTGAGCAGGGGGTTGGACTAGATGACCTCCAAGGTCCCTTCCAACTTTATTAATATTATTATTAGTGCTGATTTACCACCAGCTTACCAGGTACTTAGGAGTGGAGGGCTGGGCAGCACAAGGGAACAACAGCCAACGACTTAATAACCAGCTATCAACCCCCCCCCCCAATCAACAATTAAAAAGCCACACACAGTCAGGCACCATATAAATACCACACAGAGATTAGCCCAAAGCACACACTCCACTAGAGAGACGTTCCCTGAGGATGGGCTTCAGCATAAGTCCAAAAGCTCGGAAGATAAAAGCTCTGGTCTTGGTGACTGACCCAGATCGGTTCTTGAAATACAGTCTTTGTTCAATTATCCTTCTGTGGCACAAGAGCCGAGCATAAACGCTTCCATTGTCATTTGTGGATTTCAATTTATATAAGCAAAACGTTTAGAACCATTTTTCTCCCTCAACGTATTTTCCTTGGGTATGGACAGATTCTTGACTACTTATGACAATTCATTGTGACACGCAGTTACCAACAATCAACAAATTATTACCAGAGTAGTAATGGGGGACTTGAACTACCCTGACATCAACTGGGAGACAAACTCTGCACCGTGAGAAATCAAATAGGTTCCTAGTGAGCCTAGTTCAGTGATGGCGAACCTTTTAGAGATCGAGTGCCCAAAAACTGCCCCCCCGCTCCATCCCCCTGCCCACCCCCACTCTGCCCCCCCACCCCGCCTGCTCACAGGACCACTCATCGCCTCCAGGGCCCGCCGCAGATTGCCCAGGCAGCCCAGCAGCGCTATGGCAGCCACACCCTCTGCCCACGCCCTGCAGCATCAACTGCATGATGGAGTGTGAGGGCGGAGTCTTGTCTACGCTGCCTGGCTGCCATGTCCTTGGCCGCGCTGCTCCGCGTGGCCACGATCGAGGGCGAGCCTCCTTCAGGGGGGCTGCTGGAGAGGAGGGGGTCGCAGGGGGAGGCAAGGCTGGGGCAATGGCACGTGTGCCCACAGAGAGGGCTCCGAGTGCCGCCTCTGGCACCCGTGCCATAGGTTTACCACCACTGGCTTAGTTGATAATTTTGTCATCCAAAAAACAGCTACGTAGCTCAATAGCAGTAACTGTGAGAGGGATCTCTCTGGCTCACTTAAATATGAGCAGGCCAGAAAAGCCAACATAGTTCTAGGCTGCATTAACAGAGGGATAGAATCAAGATTGTGTGAAATGTTAATACCACTTTATAGTGCTGCAGAAAGTCCATACCAACACCCAGTTTTGGTAAACACGATGTAAAAAAGATGTTGAGACAATAGAAAGAAGGCGGAGAAGAGCAACAAAGATGATTAAGGGGCTGGAGGCAAACAAAATACGATGAATGGTTGCAGGAATTGGGTATGTCTAGTTTAATGAAAAGAAGGACTAGGAGTGACATGATAGCAGTGTTCCAGTATCTCAGGGGCTGCCCCAAAGAAGAGGGAGTCAAGCTATTCTCCAAAGCCCCTGAAGGCAGGACAAGAAGCAACGGATGGAATTTAATCAAGGAGAGAAGCAACCTAGAACTAAGGAGAAACTTCCTGACAGTTAAAACAATTAACCAGTGGAACAACCTGCCTCCAGAAGCGGTGAATGCGCCAACACTGGAAGTTTTTAAGAAGATATTGGGCAGCCATTTGTCTGAAATGGCATAGGCTCTCCTGCTTGGGCAAGGGGTTGGACCTCTGTCACTGATAATGTTACGTAGTTAGGTCATGAAACGTCTGCAAGCAAGCAACCCAGCTCAGAGAGCGCCAAGGACCTTGCCAGTTTAACCTTGAGCTATAAATATTCACGATCCAAGAAGGCTGCCTTCAAATGGCATGCTAAATCTTCCAAAGTGGATTACCTTGCTCAAGTGTTTTGACGCTGAAGATCTTCTCTCTAGAACCTGATCTACTTTGATGCGCTCTTCAGAACTCTCACATGCCTTCTACAAAAAAAACCAATAGTTCTTGTTACTCCGTAGCCCATGAGCAAATGAAGCAATATGTTACAATCACTCTTGAGGCTCCAGAATTCATTTCTGAGCACCGTCGGGTCAACCTGAACATACGGTTGCCCTGAAATCCCTGAAGATTCTCTGCTAGCTTTGTGTGAAGCTGGGAGAATGAGTGGGGCAGTCCTTTGATTAATATCCCATCCATCCCCGTGGAGGGCAGGCAGGCAGAGAGTGATCTAATTACTGCAGAGGCTATCCCCACATGACAGACAGTTTTAAGCAAAGCTCCTGGGAGGATGAGATTGAAGAGGAAAATAGATGTATTTGAAATTCTGCTCAGGGTAGTAGCCTTCGTGAACAAACGTGGACAATTGCCTCGAGCCCGCTGAGCTTGTTTTAATCAGTGCCTCACATCACTATGAATA